TTTTTTTTTTTTTTTTTTTACAACTGAAAAAATCAATATATTAAACTCAAAACGAACAAAACATCCGGATAATCCACTGATTCCAACTTCGATCAAACCAATCAAACCGGTTAGAAAGATAGCAGCACGGGTACAGTACCAAATGACCTGCCCTCTAAGACCTAGCACGGGTACATAACATTCAATGAGTCAAGCTTATTCACTGTCTCTGCATCTTGAAGGTTGCATTGTACCTGTTCCCAGCCCATTCTTTTGGCTGCCTTAAGAGCAGATTTTGTTCCTCACTGGCATTTTCACACACTTGTTGAGCTCAGAGGAATATGCAAATATGTGACCTTTGAGCGCCATAAATTGTGGAGCTTTGAATGAGATCAAAGGATTTAAAGAGTACTTCAATGCTGCTATTATATAATAACTTTTGGAATACTTTTTATTTTAAATGAGATATAGATTTAAATTGTATAATTGTTATAAGATAAATCAAATTATTTAAATTGATATGATAGAAAAATAATAAAATATGAATTCATAGTTATAAGTAGTTTTGTTATAGTGGTTGTTATCAATGTTAGAAACATATAGTCTGTTTGGTAAATAGCTTATTTGATAAGCTTTTTGGACCCAAAACTCTAATTTAGAAAAGCTCATTAGACCAGCTTTTTGGGATAGCGGATTCACAAAAATTATTTACTTGGAACTTTTTAATTTGTATTATTTATTTTACAATCTACATTGGTTTATGGTTATAATAATAATAATATGTCATCCATATGATTAATTTATCTAGAAAAATGTAAAATTCATAACTTTCTCATCAAATGTTAGTAAATTTTTTTAAAAAATATATATATTTATAAATTATCAACTAAATAATATCAAATGTTTTAATACTCCCTCCTGTTCATTATAAATGTCGTTTTGACTTTTTTGATTCATCCATTTTTTTATGTATCTAGATATTAATATGTCTAGATACATAACAAAATGTATGAATCACAAAACTCAAAACGACATTTATAATGAACAGGAGGTAGTATATAATTATTAAAAGAATACACTCTAAATAATAAAGTGTCATTATTAGTCATTTTGCAATGTCAAACAGCTATAAGCTTTCAGCTATTTACCAAACACTTATTTAAAAACCGCTAATGCAATTCGCTGGTCAAATCAGCTAATATAATCCGCTATCCGCTGATCGCCAAACAATGTCTGTAGCTAATATTTAATAAACTAGTGTGGTACCGCGTACGATGCACATGCTAGTTTTATTAGGGTAAACATTTAAATTTGGATGATTGGAATAAAACAAAAAGTAAATTCTATATTATTAAACATTGTTGTGAAATATTTATTATAAAATAATATATGTGAATGACTATTTTGCCCATAATGTAATTGTATTATTACGGTTGTGCCATCAGAAGTTTCCTATAAATATGAGCTTCAGTTATAATGAAAATCGCACCTAAGAGAAACATTTTCTCTATTCTCTCTCTTTTCTCTCTAGCTTTATAACATGTTATCAGCATGAGTCTCTACCCTCTATAGCTCGATTTGTAATATGAGAATAGTATGCTCTACAGTTGCGTCTTATAGACGATCCTCTGTATCAGAAATTCAGTTATTACTTATTGTTCTTCTCTTGATTGATCTGATTATTTTCATTACTTCAAGTCTTCCCAAGAACAACCATACTGAAACGTCATCTTATTTCAGTCCTTGAAAAATGTATACCTTTTTGTGAATATATACAGTTTTTAATCTTACATTGGGGCAGGCAATTATCAGTAGAACTTGTTGAGGGCTAGTAAGCTCTTTCAAGAACACACACAGAAAAAAGTGGAACCTGTAGGTTTGGAATTAGAAGATGATATTTTATTCAAAGATTTGACAAGCTGGGACAACGAGGACAGCCAGGTCGAGATCGATTACAACGCCGAGAGTGTGTTGTTGGTGGAGGCCGAGTCCGACGACGCCGTAGCACATTACGCGACTTTTCCCCGACAAGCTCCGACGGTAGACTACTCGTGTTGCAATAGTTAGATTAACGAGTTATGAAACAATTTTAATACCTTTCTTCAAAGATATAATTTATGAAGGCTGAAAATAAAAATAATCAAAGAGTGAAAGGAGTTCATGAAAGCAGAACTTGATATGATAATTTTACTTGGCCTGTGAGGTGTCCTCAATATTTCAAAATGAAAAGATAACTGTGAAGAGAAATCAGAAAGAAAACGAGCATTATCAAAATGTTATTTGCAACATTTTTTTTTCATTACCTCTCAATATTTATTTTTATCCATCAAGAAAACGAGCATTATCAAAATTATTTGCTACTAATTTAATTATTCTTGGAATAATGAGAGTTTCATTTTAAGACCAATATTGATATAGTTTATTAAATTATATATATTGGTTTTCTAAAATGCTTGAATTGTACCGTGAAAATTATTTGATAAATGAACATGTGCATATTTATGGATTAGCTATTGTAATATTTGGTACAGAACATTGAATATTTATTGATTGACCCATGTGATATGAAAATAAATATGTTTGGCTACGAGAACCGGTCAGTGCGGCTCTGCCGCTGACAAGTAATATTTAATGGTAGCCGACGGGTCAATTGTTGATCAAAATATTATGACTGTTATGTGAAATGGCCAAGTGTTGCAATCACTAGCAACAGATAATATTGAGCGACTAAATAAATCGGCCAGTGTATTAATCAATAATGGTCGGTAATGTGGAATGGTCATGTGGTAAGGCCATATGGTAAGGCCATGGTCAACAAATATGTTAATACCCAATTTTGGCCTCGCCTATTAAAATATTACACGTGGATATATATTATATCAATTGTCTTATTTTATGGCCCACAAATAACACCGCTTGTAATAATAACGGGCCCACCAAAAATATATATATAAACCCCAATGATGGACGTCAGATAGATAAGTCTGAGGGGGCTAATTATTATTTTTTCTCTTCACACTCAATTTCTTTTCCTGGAGATGAAGACAACATATGCAAAAAACATATGTACAGATTGATAGCTTCTTCTTCATTTTCTTTTTACTGATTCATACCTAATTTACATACGAAACTTCATATAAATCCAATACAAGCAATTTCTCGAATACCCCATGTTGATACAAAATCGCATATCAACAAAATAATAACATGTATGAATGACTATATATACGTGGGCTAGCCAGTGCGGCTCTGCCGCCGGCAACGTACAATATTAATTAAGCAATAACCGATAAGTGAAATGAATGATACTTTGTATCTGGCCATGTGAAAATTGACTAATAGTCCTTATCGAGACGGGCATTATGTGGACTAAACTGATCCTGAAAAAGCGGTTAATAAATTCTTCAAATTTATGGAGAAACGAAAATTGATGAGATGGTACCAAAAGCTACCACATAATAATGATATTGTGGTATAATGATACT